CCACATGGTGCCCTTTTGAAAAATTTCAGCAGAGCATGTGACTCCCTGCTGAAGGGGGAGGGTCGCCCAGGGGGCTTCCCAAATCTCCCAGAAAAAAAAATCCCAAAGTCTTCCCAGAGCCTGCCAGTCTTGTAAGACCTCTGTCTCCCCCAGCTCCATCCCTCTGCTCCAGCCCAGGTAGCCCGGCGCTGAAATCACTGAGCTCTTCCCCATGCCAGGCACCAGGCCTTTGCACTGACCGTCCCCGGCCCCACCCCCGCCAGATGCATCCTGTCCTCCGGAGAGTCCTGACTTCCTCCTGCACGTCATCCGAGGCCCCTCTGTTCCCTCACCCTGCTGCGTTTCCTTCTTCACTTCATCACCCCTGATGTGATATTGTAAGTGTGTTTCTGGTTTGTTCACTACCTGTCTCCTTTCATCGGGGAAGCTCTCCAGCTCTGTGGCGGCAGCAGGGAGGGCTGCCTTGTCACTACACACCTCCCAGGACATGGGACAGTGCCTGCTACACAGCAAGCACTTGACACGAGGGGGATGAATGAATGAATAAATGAACAAATGAATGAGTTGCTATTCCTACAGTGACTGCTACCCTGATGTGAATGGACTGTATCATTCTCTGAGGATGGGCAGAGGGGTCTGGACAGCAGGTCCCAGGGTTGGATTCCTCGCTCCTTCCTAGCTGATCCTGGGCCAGCACTGGGAGCTGCTGTGTTGGGAGTGCTCAGGGGCCCTATTTGCTGAGGGCCTGCTGTGTGCTGGCTGCTGGGCCGGGCTAGGCTCCGGGAAGGGACGTGGGGCCGAGTAGGGAGACAATGAAACCAGCACAACGATATCACAAACTGCCTGATCATTGCTCTCCTAGAAGTAGAGGCACACCACTCTGAGCCTCGATGTTCTTTCCTGGAAAACGGGGATAAGAACAGGGTTGATGGTCAAACTAAACCATAAGCAGATCCCTGCCAGACAGCTGACCTCACTAAAACTGAGCATCTATTGCACTTCCTCTCCTGACCCAGTGGGGACTGCCGCACTCCAGCGGCTGGCCGACCTAACACAGGGATGGGAGGAACCTCTGACACGTGTGTTCTCAGGCTGGCCCTGGGGATTCTAAGGGGATAAGGATGGGGGTGCAGGGGTGTGGCCAGAGCCCCTGCCACCTGATCATTCCATGGATGTCAGCTGCCCGGAGAGCAGCAGTGGATGGGGGAGGTCATGACCTGCAGCCCTGACTTGAGGATGAGAAAGCCATTTCCCCTGGTGACCTCCACAGCCTGTACCCCAGGACTTGGCAAATCTCACGCGCACACACGTGCGTGCGCACACACAGACTGATCTTGTACAGCAGCCAGATTAGTCCCCGTGCCACCCCCGTTTCATGTTTGCCCAGTAACTACCACGAGCATGGCATTCCTGTAGACTTTATAGATCTTAAGACCTGAATGAAGTTGCATCCATCCTGAGAAGAGCACTCGTAACTGGCAAGGCGGAGAGGAAGGTCTGGGCTCTCGTGGCATCAGGGGACCCCATCAACCTCTGCAGGTGCAAGACCATGGGGGAAAGGAGTGCCCCGGGGCACTGGGAATGGTCAGTGGGAAGACTAGGGATTCTAGGGTGAATGCAGCCTTGGGTTGCAGTGAAGACTCAGGAGTTAATGTTTGCAAAGCACTGAGAGCAGGGCCTGGTACTGTGTGAGCGTTTGTGAAATACAACATGTAAGCAAGGTGGGGACAGGGCCCAGGGATCGCCCTTGCACACAGGGACTGCCTGAGCTAGGCACAGGGAAAAGCCCGTGACCAGCTGTCCAGGGCCTTGGATTCTCCTCCTGGCTCTGCCATTGCTCAGCCCTGTGACTTTGGGCTGAAACCACCCTTGGCCTCTATTTCCTCATCTGTGAAGTGGGCACAGTAACACCTACCCTGGCTACCTCAGAGGGCTTTTGGAGATGCAGGGAAACCTTCAGAAAGTCTATTCAGAAAGCAAACCATGTTTATTTTGTTAACAATGCTGTAATCTGGTCTGCCTGGCCACATTAAAACACACACACACAAAGACCCTTTCCTGCGTATCTGGAGAAGTGACTGCTGCTTCCCCGCTGACTCCCCTGGGGGTTTGGGGAAGCCCAGCTTGTCACCCAGTGTATAAGCAGGCCAGCCCCAGCCCTCCGCGCTCCCCAGGGTTTGCAGTAAGCGGAGAGCAGCTTTGTTCCAGGCCCCACAGCTGGTAAATGGTGCAGTCCTGGTTTGATTATGGGCTGCAGGGCTCCAAATGTTAGTGATAATTGTCGTCATCAGTAGTAACACGTACAGAGCGCTTCTGTGTGCGCAGGTGCTGGGCCCGGCACCTCTCCGCAGGAATTTTTTGTCTTCATGGCAACCCTCGCGGTAGTTACTGTGACTTGTTGCTTTTTGTTTTTTTAACTTTTCAAATAAGTTTTTTTGAAGCAAAATAAATGATTGCCAAGAAACTTTATGAAAGTTCCATCTCAAAAGGGTCAAAAAAAAAAAGGGAGAACTTAACTGCTATAAATTCCTTGTGTTTAGGGCTGCAAAACAAAGACACATATTATTTAAATCAGTTTTATATAAGAATTTCCAACATTGACAACTCTTATAAAAAGTATCCAAGCACAGGACACAGAACTGCAGCAAACAGCTTTCTTATGCGTAGCTAACAGACGTTAAAACTTCCACCCTGGGGGGAGGGTATAGCTCAAGTGATAGAGCGCATGCTTGGCACGCACGAGGTCCTGGGTTCGATCCCCAGTACCTCCTCCAAAAATAAATAAACCTAATTATCTACCCCCCTGCCAAAATAAAATAATTTTAAGATATAATAATAATAAAAAAGAACTTCCACCCTTCTTTGAGACACCCCGAGCTCACTGGTGAACTCTGCTTCCAAGTACCTCCTGCAAAGCACACCACAAGCTCAGTCCATGTCCTCAACCCGTCAGCTTCAGTTCACATTGCCATGCTTACAGATCAGGAACAGAGGAGAACACGCACCACACAGCATTCACAGCAGTTAACAGAGGGGTAGGGGAAATACATGTTACTGGTTTTCAGATGGACACAGGGAGACAGAGGTAAACGAGCTTGCTCAATGCCAGGCAGCTGGGAAGCAATGGCTTTACTCTCTGAGTCTCTGGCTCCCATGGGCCTCCTGGTCCTCCTGACACTGTTTTCAGAGTCACAGCTGCACACCCTAAGGGGTGTGCCTCATCTCCTCAGAGGACACAGACCTACGGGGAGGAGAGGGTGGTTGTTGCAGAAATCACCATCTCTGGGAGGGAGTGCCTGACCAGAGGGTTGGGGCAACACATCTCTGTCATGTCCCCTTGGGCCCCAAGATTTGTTGAGGCTGTGTTTGGTAAATTGACTTAATCAGGCTGAGAGGATTTGCTTTCTTTATTCCCAGTCCGCGTGGAAGGCGTCAGTATTGTGGAATTAGGAAGATATAATTGAATATGTAAAATTAAGATTAAAATGTCAGGGGTAAAGTTTCCTCTTGTTAGGAATTCATAAGTGGTCAATCCAAGTGTCCATCGGCAGGGGAATGGATAACCAAAATGTGGTATACCCATACAATAAATATTATTCGGCCTTAAAAAAGGAAATTCTGACACGAGTCACAGTGGATGAACTTTGGGAACATTATGCTAAGTGAAATAAACCAGTCACAAGATGAGAGATGCTGTATGATTCCATTCATACGAGGTACCTAGAGCAGTGAAATCTGTAGAGACAGAAAGGACACTTAAAAATGGTTAAGATGGTAAGTTGTATGTTACATATATTTTACACAATAAAAAATGAATTCATAACACTTACAATACGGTACTAGAAAACAGAAACAGCATCCTTTGTAAGCACTTACTACATTTATTATTTATTATTATTTATTACATATTATTATTTGTGCACATGGAAAACAAACCCGTTGGATTTCTTTAAACTTTTCTTGTGGGGGTTGGTGAGAATATTAATTAAACTTATTTATTTTACTTAACAGAGGTACTGGGGATTGAACCCAGGACCTTGTGCACACTAAGCAGTCACTCTCCCACTGAGCTATAACCTCCTCCCTGGATTTCTTTAAACTCTTGAGCAACTCAGACTCAACACTCACCCACCTCCCCCCCCCCCCGGCCTGTGGCCTCAGCCTGAGTGAGAGTTGACTGAGAAATGTCCACTTCTTAGCCCTTTTCCCAGTGTAACTACTTTCTAAAGAGCCTTGTTTTCCTCAAGCCTGTAATTATGTTTGCCTCCAGGGTACCCAGGAATTTTCTTTTTTTTTTTTTAATAAGCAAAGAGCATCCTACAATTATCATGATGATTTGTCGAGGGCAGGCCAAGAGCAGGCAGGAGGCTGACACACTCCGGAAACCAACACTCACGTGTTGGTGTTGGCACCTCAGAGGCACTCTCCCCAGCGCACCTGGGGTCAGTAATTAATATTAAGAGCTGGAGAATTAACAGAGCCACATAGGTGTCCACTGGAGGATGCCGAGAGGACGGGGTGGGTGGCTCGTGGGACCTGGCCTTCCTGAGGCTGGCCGCAGCCGGGAGCTGGCCCTGCCTTCACAGATGGCTCTCGGTAAATATTTCCAGCCTGTGTGACTGCAGTGTCCGGACCCAGGGCTGCCCGGGCCACATACAGCCGAGGCCGGGATGGGCAAGAAGCCTGCCGGCTCTGTCAGCCCTGATTTGCGGCCGATCCTGTCATCTCCCCGAGTTCAAAGAGCGCTTAGCTGCTTGTCTTTGTCAAGAGCGCGGTTGGGGATCTTTTATGTGAAAGATGGAGGGTTCTCGGGCTGATCTCGGGCTGACTTTGATTATTTATTCATCCCTCTTCGTGGGTGTGTGATAGCCGGGCACCGTGGAGCCCCCTGTCCTGACTGCTCTTGCTCTGAAATTCACGGAGCTTTAAAGCCCTTTGAAAATTGCTTTTCGAGGGAGGGGAAAAGTTTTTGAAGTCCTGTTTTTCTCTCCCCTCCGCAGTTCCGCCGCATCTTCTGCCACCGTTCCACGCTCCCTTACCGATTGACATGAGACACCAGGAGGGGAGGTACCATTACGAGCCTCCCTCTGTCCACGGCGTGCACGGGTAAGTTCCGCCCTCCACCCGCCGCCCTGGCAAGTGGTCTCCTGCCTCTGTCTTTCTGTTTGGAGTTCCTGATCTTCGTCGTCCAGAGTGGACAGTCACACTTGTCACCCAAGAGCGCACTGACGCTAGACCCTGTGCGAATGGGAGCTGTGGAATGGGAACCCCAGCTTCCCTCTGGTTACCTGAGAGGGACTCACAATGGCCTCACACATCCCTACTTCCAAGGCTGCAGGCCGACCCGGTGTATCCATAAGCGCCCTTGGGGCTCTTTCCCTGCCCAGGCAGTGGGGTTGCCCTCCAGGCCAAAGTCCTCACATAAGTGACTTTAGATTTGAGTTGTCCCCGCATAATAATTCATAGCACCCCCTTTCGCACTCTCAAGCATCCCAGTTTGGACAGTAAATGATAGGGTTGCCCTACTGATAAGGACAAACTCAGTTATACTTTGCAGCCTCTCCTACTCCCTGCTCTGAGGCCCCCACGTGAAGGAGTGTGTCACCTGTGTGTCACACTAAACCTGCCCCTGCCCCTCTTCATTCCCACCTGGGGTCTCCGAGCCCATGGCTGATAATCACTTTTCTTGGTCTTTATGACTCAAAAGACTTGACATCTTGCTACGCATCCATTTGGCTTCCAGAAGAGACACTGAAACCTTCGCCCCACCCCCTATATCTCCATTGCTCCCCACGCCTACCTTGGAGGGGACCTAATGGGAAAGATCAAGAGGCCCCAAGAACCCTCCTGACCCAGCCATCTCACCTGTCCATACCAAGTTGCCATCAATGGTTCTTGAACACACAACTGCCACATGTCCCTGAGCCTCAGCTCCTGCTGCCAGCCTGCCTGGAATGTCCCCTCCTCTGGGCCACCACTTCCGGACCCTCAGCTCAGGTGCCACCTCCTCCCAGGGGCCGTGGTATCCTCCACACTGAGGGGGGTCCCTTCCCTGGGTTCCCCCCACACTGGAACATGAGAATGACCTGTTTTCACACCTGCCGGCCAGCAGGCTCTGGGCTTTCCTCTGATTTCCACCTCGATGGTAGCTGTAATAGCTTCACAATCAGTGTTTGCTGTGGAGAACCCTCTCCCGGGATCCCTCCCATTGAAGACCAACCCTGTCGGGGAGCCTCTCCCAGCTCCCGTTGGCATAAAGTCAGTAAAAGCTTGCAGAGCACTCACTATGTGCAAAGCACTATATTTGCTCTGATCTGCCTCAGCAACATGGATGCCCAGGACCCTGCTTCTCAGTACCCACAAGTAGAGACTGGACAGCGGCACCTCTGAGCGGGAGGCAGGTGACTGAGAAGGTGTCCCAGCCCTCAGGTGACTCCTATTTCCGGGCACCCATTGCCCACCTCAAGCAGAGCAAATCTGGGACTTCCATTTTCTTCATCACGATGTCTTGTACTTTGCAGTAATTTCAGACATGATCAAAAAGTTGCAAAAAGAATACAAAGATTTCCTGTTTACCCTCACCCAGTTCCCCAAATGTTCACTTCTTATGTAACCAAAGAACAGTATGAGTGCTGTTAACTGATTTATAAAGCTTGTCTAAATTTGGTCAGTTGCCTGCTAAGGTCCCCTGTTGAGGATTTAGCCCTTGCATTTAGTTGTCATACCTCCTTAGACATCTTTAACCCGGGACATGGCTCAGTCTTTCTTGTCTTTCACAACCTTGACCCTTTTGAAGAGGAAGGACCAGTTATTGCGTAGAATGTCCTCGATTCGGGTTTTCCTGAGGTTGCCTGATGCCTGGATTCAGACGATGCAGCTGGGGGCCGACTACCATAGAAGGGGTGTGGTGCCCTCCTAGTCCATCGTGTCAGGGGACCCATGACAGCAGTACTTCTCATCCCTGGAGATGCTAGTAACTTTGATCGCTTGCTTAAGGTGAGGTCGGCTGGGCTCCGTCCCTTTGTAATTAATACGTATCTGGTGGGGTAGTACTTTGATAATATGTAAATGTCCTGTTTCTCACCATATTTTCATCCACTAACGTTCACATCCAGTGATGACTCGTCCCTGAAACAGTAACTACTAGTATTTGCCAAATGATTTTCTGTTTCCATCATTCCTTCCATATTTGTTGATTAGAATTCTACTCTAAGGAAGAGCTGTCTCTTCTCCTCCATTAATTGATTTTATCATTTATTTCTATCAGTTAGATGAGATCTGTGTTATTTTGTGAGTTATATACTCTATGGCTATCACTATTGTGTTGTTTAAACCATCCCAGAGTTGGGCATTGGGTGTCCTTTAAGGTTGTCTCCTGTGACATGTTGGGAACTTGCCTTTTATTTTGGTGCACGTGGCTGGTTCTCACTTGACTAGACCTGCTGCTGGCAGGCTTGTATCCGTGGTGGGTGGTGGGGCCATTTCAGCGCTCGGCCCAGCTCTGGGGCTCTTCCCACTGCAGGTGGCTGAGCCCGCAGCTCAGGCAGCTTCTGGAAGGTGCTGATCCTGGAGCTAGTGGCTCACCTGGAAATTGCACAGTTGGTGGCATCCAAAAATCCTGAGTATCAAGGGAGCTGAGTCTCTTTTCCGGAGGCTTTGGAATTGCTCTTTCTCTGTTGTTGAGAACTATTTGGCTGATTCTGTGACATCCTGGGCACAGCAGGCCTGCAGCAAAGTGCCCCTTGCAAGGGGACCCATGCCGGTCAGAGACACAGGCAATGCTAAGAGCTCCCTGGGGGACAGTCCACACAGATTTGCATCACTGCAGGGCAACATCCTGGCTCACATATCCCCACGTATCTAGGGGCAACAGAGATATAAGAAGACCCCATCACTGAGGACTGCTATTTCTCGAAATAACTCTGACCTCATGAACAGGCTCTGCTGTAAATACCTCATGTGTTTGATCTTATTTAACCCTCTCACAACCCTGTAAGATGAGCATTTCATATCATCCCCATTTTATGGATGAAGGAACTGAAGCAGCAGAGAGGTTAAATCACTAATCAGTAGGGTCACCCACTTAGGGATTGGGAGAGTTAGAAATCTAATCATGGCCTCCTGAGCCCCGGCCCTTGGCTGCACACTGGCCTCCTGCTTGGGAGCACATGTGCGACCATAGACCCCCTGCACAGGTCCAGACGATTCCTTCTTGAAAGCTTTATGATAGCCCTTTGTGAGGGTGCTGTCCCCTAATTCAGTGGTTCCCCAAACCTCTGGACCGTCAGCATCAGCATTGCCTGGAAGCCAGCTGGGAACGCAGAGTCTCAGGCCCTGGCCCCGACCTGCTGGGTGCGAGAGTCTGGAGTGGGCCCACGATCTGTGTTTAACACATCTTATGGATGATGCTGCCGCAGGCTCGGGTTTGAGATGCTCTGCTGCAGGCGGCAACTTTCACTGAATTAGGGGGCCCTTGGTACTGTCGTTCCCTGGGCTAATGGAGAGCTGTGTCCAGGAGGTGGCCTCTGAGACTTTCCTAGGCTTTGCCATTCACTGGCTCAGGGTTGGACACAGGTCACCTCCCTTCTCTCTAGGTCACGTCCCTTCTCTCTCTGGGCCTGCTTCCTTCCTGGCCAGTGAGGGGCGGGGTGCAGGCAGACCACCCAGAGAAGCACACAGCAGTGATGGCAAGCAGCAGAGGAGGTCTGGCCAGGCCAGGGGCCTGTGGAAACGGCCTTCTGGATGGCTCTTTAGTTGGTACCTAATGGCTGTGTAGAGTTTGCTGGGGTAACAGATTGCCTCAAACTTGGTGGTTTAAAGTAATCAAATATTCTCAGATAGTTCTAGAGGCCAAGAGTCTGAAGTAAGTCTTATGAGCCTAGAATCAAGGTGTGGGCAGGGCTTATTTCCTTCTGGAACTTTCTGGCTCCAGGAGAGAATCCATTTCTGTGACTGTTCTAGCATCTGGAAGCAGCCTGCATCCCTGCCTCACACCACATCACTTTTTTACTCCCTGCTTCTCTTCTCACGGCCACTTCTTCCTCTTCTGTTTCCTCCCTCTGCCTCACTTATAAGGACAGCAGTGATTGGGCCTGAAAATTCAGGATAACCTTCCCGTCTCAAGATCCTTAACATCTGCAAAGTCCCTTTTCCCATAGAAGGTAACATTCGCAGGTTCCAAGGATTAGGACACAGACATCTCTGGGTGTCATTATTCAGTTCATTTGTGATCTCAGCCCCCAGTGGTAAGTCTGGCTGACCCAGGAGAAGACAGTAAAGGGTGGTAATAATTTGTGCAGGGGAACTGAAGTCTGGTGTGCTGTATGAATTTACCTTCCCAATTGTCCTGTGAAATGGGGTTGTAATGTGCATCTTACAGATGCAGAGGCTGAAGTTCAGAGAGGTGCACTGACTTTCATGTGCTCAAGCAAATGGGCCTGCTTGCTTCTCCAGGGCTGAGGAGCCTAGCTGCACAGCCCCTCACCCCCAAGGAGTGGACCATCTGGTTAACACCCCAGTGATGGGCAGCGGCACTGTGTTTCCAGAGCCTGCCTCCTGCTGGGGTGGGCTTCCAGTGGCTCCACATTATCCTAGGGACAGTTGGGGGCATGGCGAGTGTTCAGAGCCCACCCTTCCCATCCCTCCATCACCCAAGGTGGTTGCACCAGGTGGGAAACAGGATAAAGCCTATGAGAAACATGGGCCCCCTGGCCGTGGCTTCCATGATTAATGTGATCAGGAGCCTGGTGGAGTGCCCAATCCATCATGCCCCTGCCGTAGCTCGCTCCTCCTCACCAAGTGTGTCTAATTACACAAACGTTGCACAGCAAATGAGGTGCCGTGTCATCTCTTGTCAGCCCTAGTCAGAGCCACTGGGGCTGCTCAGTCGCCCAGGACAACTGCCCATTGGCTCTCATGGCTCCAGTGGGCGTGGCTCAGGGCGGAGTCTCCAACTCAGCCCTCCTGGGCCCTGTCACCTGCCCTGCCAGGCTAGCAGCACTGAACTCACTAGCCTTGGGATGTGACCGACTGACCAACCTGAATGTGTAAACCTCAGTTTTCTCATCTATAAAAGCACACAATAATAGTACCTCCCCCATCTGTGG